CAAATAAATGTTACATAAAACATTTTGGCATGTCCAATGGCAAATATGAATGGGTGCCTAAAGGAACAAAGCATTTATACATGTCTAGATGATAATTTGAGCATCTAATTGATTATCAGAATCAAAATATTTTTTCTTGTTGTCATAATCAATTATGTTGACCAACTTTGAAATTTGAAAGTTTGAATTTTGAAAATTTGAATTTATGAAAATTTGAAATTATAAAGTTTGAAATCTTGTAATTTGAAGTTCTTGAAATTTGAAATTTTGCAGTTTGAGATTTTTTTTAAATTTGCGGTATGAGATTTTTTAATATTGAAATTTTGCAATTTGAGATTTTTGAAATTTGAAATTTTGCAGTTTGAGATTTCTTTTGCAATATGAGATTTTTGAAATTTGAAATTTTGTAGTTTGAGATTTTGAAATTTGAAATTTTTGCAGCTTGAGATTTTTGAAATTGAATTTGAATTGGAATTTGAAATTTGGATTAGAAATTTGAATTTGAAATTTGGAATTTAAATTTGAAATTTGAAATTTGTTGCAATTTGAATTTGAATTTTGAAATCTCGAATATGAGTGCATTTGAATTTGAAAGCTGCCTAAATAAGAAGACTGCAATGGAGGAAACTACTGCATTTAATTTCATTATCTCTATAATCATTTTATTTTCCTATCTTTCTCTCTCTTCATTTGTCTTGGGTATCCTAGATATTGTTTCCTTAATATGATATTCTTCTCTATGACACTTTGTAATGCATTATCTTCTCTACCTTGATTTATGTACTAATATGTGCAAATTTATTCTCAGTTTCTATTGCAATATTTTTCATAATTATCAATGAAACAGAGAGATATTTTGATGATATTAATGTGTGAAACAGGGGGAGATTTTTTTTTCTCTTATAATATTTTTTTTATAATTATCAATGAAACATAGAGATATTTTGATGATATTAATATGTGTGAAACAAGGGAAGATTTTTTCTTATAATATTTTTTATGATTATTAATAAAACAGGGGGAGATTTTTTGATGAATTAAAATCGGTGTGAAATTCTTTCCTATCTAAATTAAACAAGGGGAGTTAAGAGAAGTCTTTGCTCATATGAGTTAGGGGGAGTCTTGTTATTAATATATCCAGGGGGAGATTAAGAGACTCTGACATACAAATTTGTGATAATCTTGAGCTGGCTATATAGAGTCAAGTATTTTAATTCATTTTAGGTGTTTCCTTGATCATCATCAAAAACGGGAAGATTGAAAGCAATGAGGGGAGATTGATGGAAATGTTCCTGCATTCCCAAGAGATGATTTTGATGATGATTCAAGTCAACACCATTCAAGATGAATTTAAGGACAGACTGAATTTATGACGTAGGTGATTTAAACAAGCCCAAGATGATTCCTAAAGACTAGATAAAGTCTTAGAATATTGGATATGGAGGTACAAGTTGATGAAGTAATATTATGCGTAAGCCTCCAAAACACAAGTGTGATAAAATTCATAACATGATATTTTTCACTGTCATAATTAATTATGATGCACCAGAAATGGGAAAATGATTTTCTCTATCATAATTAATTATATTGGTAATATAATCAATTATGACAATTCAAATTTGAAAAATATATCTGTTTTAAAGAATACATGTTTTTTAATACATCCTGATTTTCTCTATGATATTATTAATGTCCAACGACCATTTTCTGATGCTATTTTTCTATTTAATTAAGTTTTTATGAAAAAAAAAAACACACAATTACAGAATTCGAAAATACAATTTACATTAATTAGATTTGAGAAAATAATTCTGAGCAAGGCAACAGAGATATTTTACACCTTTTGAGAAAACCCTCTTCTCTACTGTCTTCTGTGCTTTCATTGTTAATCACACTTGTTCTTGGAGATTGGCATTCTACAGGCTTCTACAATTTGTTGTCTCTATTACCCAAGTGTGTCTGTTCTTATTTTTATTACCTTCATCTCTAGTGTGATTCTAGGGAGGTGTTCATCCTTAGTGGGATTCTAAGGAGGTGTTTTCATCCTTTGATTTGTTCAGAGGAGGTGTTCATCCCTAGTGGAATTCTAGGGAGGTGTTCATCCTTAGTGGGTTTCTAAGGAGGTGATTGTCTTTTTAATTAGTTTACTTTTTACTGGTTCTTCTGCTGAGTTGATTGTAATTTGTAAACTGAATTTGAAAGATAGTGAATGGAGAGTCACTCTTGTGTGTTAAGAGTTGACTGGGAACTGGATGTAGGGTTGACTATACCCGAACCAGTATAAATCTCTGTGTGCTCTTCTCTCTCCCTTATCTCTTTCTCTATTCCTGATTATATTATTGCTTCCGCTTTAACAAATTATTAACTCAAATAAATTTTTAATTTGACATTTATTTTAATTTATGCATCTATTCACTCCCTCTAGATGTTATTTGTCTAACCATCGTTGGGTGACCAATTATTCATTGAACGAAACTTATTCAAATAAGAACCTTAAGAACTTTGGTAATTGGATGACCATTTACTCACTAAGCAAATATTGTTCTAGTAAAAATTTCAGCAGGATTGTTCATTGAGAGAACAACACAAATAATTAAGTAAATTTAACTTGTGCTTAATTTATTGAGTGATCAAATAGGTCACTTAGTAAAACGAATATTTTCAAACTTTTAAATAATATTTTTTTTATGATTTTTAATGATAAAATTGTTGTGTTTAACAATATATTATGCTTGATTATTTATTATTATTTAATAAATGATAAATTAAATTTTTTATTATTTATGTTTAAATTAGAATGTATGCTTTTTTTAATTGTAAATTATGATTTATGAAGTGAAATAAGTTATAATAAAGTGTATACAATATGATTTTGTATAATTGGGATGATATACTAACGCGAGACATATCAATACATACAAGTGACTGGATCTTGACGATTGATCTTGGGGAGCCAAATAATATATTATTAATAAATATAAAATAATATATTATTAATAAATAATAAATAAATATAAAAGGAAGAAAAAAGATGAAAGGGTAAAAGGATAAAATTGTAGATATATATTTAAATATATTAAATGATCATTAAGTTTGAGGGGGACAAAGTCATAAATTACATGAGAGTTACAAAATTAAGGAGAGGCTAAGAGGATAGAATTGTAAATATACAAGTAAATATATTAAATGTTTATTAAGTTTGGGGGACCAAAATCATAAATTACATAGGAGTTATAAAACATTGGGGTCACCCCTCAGCTCCCAAGAAGATCCGTCATCGAATACATATACTTGTAGTGTATATAAATATTAAATTTAATATTCGATAGAAGATTATGATAATTAAATTAATTAGAGACTTATAAGAAAAATTACAATCTATCATACACATAATTTTCAAATTTAATTCAATATCTATTTTTTCGTGTAATATACGTGTAAAGTGTATATAAACATGTATATACATTATGTGATATTTATGTATCATAAATTGACATGATATATTAACTTTAAAATTGTATAATATTAACATACATGTATTTATTATTTTATAATAAATTTAAATTTAAAAATATATTGTATATTAATATACATGTATTTATTACTAGTTTGTTATTATGTATATTTTGTGTATTGGTTTTAAACAACTATAATCATATTTTACATGGAAACAGTACTAAGTATAAAAAAGAGTGGTATGAAATTGATAACATTTTAAAATTTGTATTAGTTACAATTTCTTTAGGTTCTAATTGTACGTATGTATATAAATCTATATTTTGAAATTATTTCTTAATTAGGTAAATTATATAAAAATATTTGAAATAAATATATTTTAGGCCTGTGATAGGTGACACCGATTTTAACTGAATTTATAATAAATATTTTATAATACGAATCAATTCTAAAAATAATATATTTAAAAATAATATTTAAATAAAAATTTTATAAATTTATTTATCCAACTAAATTTGAATATTGTTCATATATAAAATTTAATAAAAGAAAATTTATTTAATATAATACAATTATTTTTATTTTCTTCATTTGTTTCATATTTGGTTCTTCTTTCTTATTCTTCCATTAAAATAAATTAAAATTTAATAAAATGAGTCTTTAAAAATTATTATATGATAAATTTGAAATGTTATGAATATTATTGTTATGTTATAATTATTAAAAAAAATAAATATTTATTATAAAGTAATTTTTTAAATAAATATTTTTTTAAATTACCTAATCTAATTAATTATTATAACTCAATCTAATTACAACTAGAATATACTTAATTTATAAATATTATATATTTTTTGAATTAGATGAATAATTAATTATTATGATAAAATAATTTTAAATTAATTATTTATTATTATCATTATTTTAAATAATTAGTTAATTAGTTTGATGGTTGATTTTAAAATATTTTAATTAGAAAAAAGTGGGAGGAAAAAGATAATTTACAAAATAAGTTTACGAATAAAATTAAATATTTTATTATGGGTCTCACAGTTGAATTGTTTAAAACTTGATCTCACAATTTAAATTGTTTAAACTTAGTCAAAGTTATTTTTCTCCACTTCAATTGCTTAAAACTTGGTCTCAGAGTTGAATTGCTTAAAACTGAGTTAAAATTGTTTTTCTCCACTTGAATTGCTTAAAACTTGATCTCACAGTTGAATTACTTAAAATTTGATCTCACACAGTTGAATTGCTTAAAAGTTGATCAAAATTATTTTTATTCCCTTTTTAAGTAACTTTATAACTCGACTTGGAGATGTTCTAAAAGACTTAAAATAGAAAAAGAAAAAAAAACAGGGGGAATGAAAAAAAAAACTATGAAGAAAAAAAAAAGAAATAAATAAATTAATAGATAATCTATTTAAATAATTTTTGACTTATAATTAATTAGCATAAAAACCAAACTCCCAAACTCCCAGAACAAAACAAACATTTAATCCAAAAGACATAATAACAGAATAAGCTGTATGCATTCTAACCAACTAAGTATCCTTGCCCATGACCCCAATCCATTCAAAGATTGCTTTAAGCTCATTCACACACTCTTCCAAACCAACTGTATCTTCATTCTTGTTCACACCATCAACCATATCAATGGCTCTAGCAATTGAACAGCTTATATCTTTCTCTTCTTCCGAGCTAAACTTTGAGCTGATATCTTCTCTCTTTAAAGCGTTTTTGACCTTGTATACATAAGAATCCAAATCATTAATTGCATTGGCCTTCCTAAGAAACTTGTTATCTTCAGACTTGTAATTCTCAGCTTCTTGCATCATAATACTAATTTGCGCAGCTGACAGTCTTCCTATATCGTTCCTTATAGTAATTTCATTCCTATTACCGGTTGTTTCTTCCTCAGCAGAAACAGAAAGTATGCCATTTTCATCTATGGAAAAGGTCACTTTCAAAGGATGCCCACGGGGAACAAGAGGAAAACCAGAAAGTTGAAAAAAGCCCAGCAAATTATTGTCACTGGCCCTTGCTCTCTCGCCCTCATAAACATTAATCAGGACAGATGTTTGGTTATCTGTGGTTGTCTCATATCCTTGTTTCTTCATTACAGGAATGGTAGTGTTTCTAGGAATCACAACACTCATGATATCTGCTTTTGTTGATATACCAAGTGAAAGCGGTGTAACATCCTTCAATACCAAATCCGGGATATTCTTAATGCCTTCACTCAACAAAGCAGCCTGCACAGCTGCACCATAAGCAACAGCCTCATCAGGATTAATGCTCTTGCAAAGATTCTTTCCCTGGAAAAAGTCCTGCAATAGTTGTTGCACTTTGGGTATCCTAGAAGAGCCACCAACAAGGACAACATCGTCTACACTGCTCTTATCCATCTTAGAGTCAGTGAGACACCTTTCCACTGTCTCCAAACACTCTTCAAAAAGATCCATACTGATTTCTTCAAACTTTGCTCGACTGATTGAAGAACACAAGTCAATTCCCTGAAATAAAGCATCTACCTCAATGGTTGCAGTAACGGCATATGAGAGTGTCCTTTTTGCTCTCTCGCATGCCCTTCTCAACCTTCTCAGGGCTCTCGGGTTCCCACTTACGTCCATTTTATTTTTTCTTTTCATTTCCTCCACAAAGTAGTTCACCATTCTGTTATCAATGTCCTCTCCACCAAGATGAGTGTTTCCTGCTGTAGCCTTGACTTGGAAGACCTTGTGCTTAATTGTAAGGAGAGACACATCAAAAGTACCACCACCAAAATCAAAGATAAAAATATTTCGCTCTCCAACACAATCATTTCTCTTATCAAGGCCATATGCAATTGCTGCGGCGGTGGGTTCGTTCATTATTCGAATAACTTTGAGGCCGATAATAGCACCAGCATCAATGGTGGCTTTGCGCTGAGAATCATTGAAATGAGCAGGCACAGTAACCACTGCATTCTTTACAGGTTTTTCCAGGTATGCCTCTGCAATGTCCCGCATCTTTGTAAGGACCATGGATGATACTTCCTCCGCACAAAGGTGCTTCTCCTGCCCCTTATACTTGACACAAATCATAGGATTGTCATTAGCCCCGGCAACAACCTTAAATGGCCACAACAATTTATCCTTCTGAATAATTGTGTCACTGAATTTCCTACCGATTAACCTCTTCGCATCTGCAAAAGTTACAATAACTCTTTAGATAGTGTATTGTTCCAACTAACTTTTACAGGAAAACCATAACCACTAATAGTTTAAGAGTAAAAGTGTACCGAAGATGGTGTTCTCTAGATTGGTAGCAGCCTGATTTTTAGCAGCATCTCCTATCAACCTTTCATGGTCTGTGAAAGCAACACAAGAAGGAGTGGTGTTGTTGCCTTGGTCATTGTGAATGATCTCTACTCTCTGATGCTGTTCCTGCCATACTGCAACACACGAGTATGTTGTGCCAAGGTCGATTCCTATGACTAATCCCATATTTTCTTTTGCCGTTCTTTTTTAAGTGAACGAAACTGTGAGATAAAGAAGAACGTGAGAAGCGAGGATGATTTTATACTTACAAAAATGAAAATGACCTGAAACACTTGAAATTATATACTACGGTGCACCTTGATTCCATAAAGTGAATCAAGTGTCTGTTGTGCTTCTGAAAGGAAATTGGAAAACGGAAAGACTGCACGCCTCTATAAATGATAATGTGACAGTATACTTACCATTCATCTATTTCCCTTCTTAATGGTTATGGTAATATTTTATGGAAAATTAGAAGACTTGCTTAAGAAAAATAATAGAATGAAAATTTTGGTTTTTTGCATATATTCTTTTTCCATTTTTCATACATGTTATACTTTTTCTTTTCTTTTAAAGTATGGTAACGTTCTCTTCGTTATCACACTTTTTTTTTACTCTTCTCTTTCCACTCACAATAACATTTTTACTACAATATTCTTTCCCGTCTTCATCGTTATTAATAATAAAAAATATTTAATAAACGATAATATAATTTTATAAACAAAGAGTTATATTTTTGGTGGGATGCTTAACTTATACTTTAATTTTCTTAATTTAATGCCGTTAAAATTAATTACATTTTATCTTCTTAAAAGATATAATTATTTTACTTTTTCTCTTTAAAAATATAATTCTATTCATTTACCTCATCAATAAATATCTCATTAAAAAATGGAAGTTCAAGCATGTTTAAAGAAAGTTACTAATAAGAGTTGTTAAAGAATAAAAATAAATATTTTACCATCAATCTTACCTTTGAATTACATAATAATAGATAAAATTGTTTAAAATTGAAAAAAAATTACTTATATAAATAACTCTGATTAATTTTTAAATAATTGTGTCCTTTCATCCGTTGGATAGATATTAAAGAGGGATGAAATTTTTTATTTTTTTCATGTTGTCAGAGTTAAACAATGAAAATGAATTATTAGTACGAGATCGAATTCATATAAGAATAAGATTTAAGTTTAATGGTACGTTAGACTTCAAAAATTTCTTTCACTCCATCCCTGTCAGAATAGAGAACCCATCATTATTTAGGTTGTGCTACCGAAAATTCTGGAAAAGTCGAAATAGAAGAACACCTATCTTGAAGTGGGTTTACTATTTAATTATCATTTCATACTTGATTAATTGATTAATATTGAATTGTTAAAAAAGATTGTGATATCATAAAACTTTATTTTTAATTTTCTAAAATGAGAGAATGAATTTTTAAGGTTTGTTCAAACTTTCAATGAAGTAAAAGTAATACTAAGTATTTTAAAATTAATGAGACATCGTAAATCTCTATTTTATATTTTTTAAAATAAAAAACAATTAATATGAGTGAGTTGCTAAGTTAAATATGTTCTTATATAAATATTTTTTTTAAGTAATTGTTTTAATTAATAAATCTCTCATCTTAATATATCTAATTTAAGACACCATCAATAATTCTTTTGAAAAACTACATTTCACATCTTATCTCTTGTTCTCATTATTTAAAAAAAAAATGAAAATATTATTTTAATTTTTATATTTGCACAAGTGCGCGTGTTTTCTAAGTTTGGTGCACTTGATTTAGAATGTTTCATTTTGGGATACCCATAAATTTAGTGGCATTTGCAATTGCAGATTTTGTTGTGATATTCTCCTTCTTTACAGCTTTCTTATCTTCTAAATGTGATCTTCCATTTTCCTCATTCCCATTTCTTATCAGTTTAAATTTTTTTAAATTTTGTAATCAAAATAAATTTCAAAAACTATTTTAATAAATATATATTAAAAAAAGCCTAAAACTAAGTTCTTAAGACAAAGATTAAAAACTTAAAACTATTTAAGGAGAAATAACCAAGTTCTTAAATAGTTTTCTGTAAAAACTGGCTCAATGCAGCGTTTAAAGTAATTAAAAAAAATTTGGCCTGTTTTCACAAACCAATATTGTTATTTATGCATAACTTATTTCTCTGTAAATAAATTTGTCTAAACTTGAATAATGAAAATAATATGTTTGACCTTGAAGCACTATATTTGGAAAAAAAAATTTCCCTTAAACAAACCATTCATCGTCCATGTCTATTATTTCAATTCAGATTAATTATTTTTTTAATTCTTACATATATTATTATTTTTTTGGTGTTTTTTGATAAATTTTTTTAAGATTTTTGTATATATGTCTAATTCTTAATATATGACATATATTTCATGTGACATATTTTTATCTTTTTATTAATATATTTGATATATATTAAATATTAATAATATTTTAATCATAATTATTAAGTTAAAATAATTTATTTTTTATTATTTTAAATAATAAAAAATATTTTAATATTTATTTTTAAAAAATAATAAAATAATATTTTCAACATTTAAACATTTATATACCTAAAGTTCAATTAATCTGAATTAAAAAAAAATGTAGTGACCAAGCGGTTGATATTGTATGTATAAATATACATATATTTATGTTTTTTTTATGTTTTCATAAGCGACGTCGTTTGGTGGCTAAATGGTGGAAACTAAATTAGTACAGAGAGGAGACTTGGGACGGGAATTGGGATCTTCCCACGTCTTGCAGGAAACGCTGAGTACAAACCGCTCCCTTTCATTCTTACTTTGTAAAATTTGCCGTTATTTCTGTATCATACTTTCTACTTCCACAACAGATTCTTGTGTTGTGCACCAGCTGCGTGATGAAATTTCTAAGTTGGTTTCTAAAGCTACACGATTCTACCTTAAAAAATAATGCTCACAACATGTTTGTTATAATGTCTGAACCACAGCATGCTTGTGTAGATTCCTAGAATCCTAGCCCACTTGTTCTTGGCTGTGCTTGCTCTCCTCTACCTGTCATTATCCTTTATTTCCGTTTCTAAGGTTTATTCAGTTTAACCTGGAATTGTGTGTGCATTTAATTTGGTTTTTGTGTGAATATCCCGTGTCAATTTTCTGACTGAATGACTTTGTGCCTATATTTTAACAATTGCTTATTATTTTTTCCATTGCCAATTTATCTTCACATCTGTGTCTGTGAATATTTGAAGGTCTTGCGTGGTCCAAGCTTTGATTTAAATATTTTGTGATACACACTGTCAGAAATATTTTGAGAGGATGAATAGAAAATTTGGTGGTGGAAGGCAGCCCACGGGGACTCCTTCACTAGCTTGGTCCTGTGTGGTTGTTGTCTTCTCTCTTCTTGCTGGTGCTTCTGTTGTTCACAATATCTATAAGCCCAATCTTGTAAGTTTTTCACTCTAACTTTATCATGGCCTTTAGTATGTAGTACCTTCTTTATTCGGTGTTATTGAGTTATATATATGACAATATGTTCCAATACTCATGGAGCCAATGCGCTTGATTGAAACTATGCTATTTGAAATACCTTTTCTTTTAAAATTGTCAAAAAAAATATTCATAGCTGAGATCATTGCTAACTGTTTTTATGAGATATAGCCCATCCTTTTACTTGACATTGCACTGATCATTGCTGCAGCATACTGTGCATCCAGTAACAAAAGTTAAATTGTATGATTTCGTATAAATGTTAGATCCGTTTGACCATCCATAAAATGTATCTGATGTCCATGCTGCTATAAGTTCAAGCCACTCTATGCACACATTGCAATGAAGATATTATAATTGTAGTAGTACATTCACATACATATATACTTGTTCAAAATTCTTGCCGTGTCCTCTACTTTCGCCAAGAATTTAAATTTTCCCTATATTGCACCATAGATAATGAAGTGAAAAACCATTGATGAACACTAACTCTTGAATAGAAAGTCTATACTTCCTTGAGTTTCTTATAGGGTGCAGATATTTTTTTCTTTAATGTTGTTTACTCATTTTCTACGTAGACATTGCCTCCTGCTGATGGAGTTGATAGGACCAAGCAGAATGAGAAAGAATGATCATCTCCCCCGTGAATTCTTTTTAACACCGTGAAGATACCAAGCTTTGGGGCTTAAAGTTAACTATCATTAAGTATGATATACAAGCTATAAAGGTTTTAGTTTGGATAAGAATATTATTTTATTTTTGGGAGCTTCGTTCGTACGGGTATATGTTTGAAATTTTTGGTAGATGCATGGTTGCAAAATTTTTGGAGGGCTAATTTGGTAGCCAAAATATTTGGAAAACTGATATAGTGGTGTTTTACAGTAATGTTTTAATGCTGTTTTAATTTGGTAACTTGGCTCTTCAAAAGGCCAATTTTAGAATTTACTGCATTTATTAAATATAAATTGGCTTTGCTGCTTACGGTTACAAAACATAATGTTGACCAAACAACTGATAATATGGGCTTCTGTTATATAAGTGTTTGGCAAAATGAAACTCATGAGTTTGGCAACTTTATTCTAAATCTGATAGTTTTCTATCTTATTTAATTTTATGCACAAAACAAGTCCTAATTCAATGTATAAAAATAAAATAGATAAACTTTAAAAAACAGCTCGAATCAGCAAGGTGTATTTTTGGTGCATGTCTTGCAAAATCTTATGATGTCCTGCATAAACTTAAAAAATCATGATTTGACTACTCTGATACATGTATAAACGACATATATATTCTCACAGCAGATACATGTGAATTAAATTAACTCATTATAAACACCGTTGGTACCAATATAATTAATGCAGTTTTTTGTGGGCTGTTAATTGAAGTTTCAAGCACTTATGGATTATATGCCCATATGGTAAGTTAACTCTGTAACCTCCAATAAATCCTTTTATCTACACATAATTAAAGCCTGAACAATTAACTACCGAGTTCATCTATCTACGTGTCACGAACAACCTCAACTACTAATGCTGTTCATTATCCATTTCCACCCCTTTCTTTTATTCGATCTTGTATTATTTTAAACACAATGCTTTGCTGGCAATTAGTGCTTTCAAATATTTGCTGGTAGTCTTGGATTACAAGGACTTGACAGAGCATATTGAGTTAGGATTGAAGTTCTTAGTGCTCGACAACTATTTGTGGTTGGCTAGTTGCATAATCGGGCCCCAAGTAACAATTAGGCCTTATTTTATTGTAAATCTAAAGGGGATCCTAAATTGAAAGTTAATCTTAGAAAAGGTTGTTGCATATCCTTATGAATGGTATCCACAGAAGCTTTCATTGTTGCCACTCCATAATTAGAGGGAAAGGGGTGTTTTATCTTTTTCTTGTCCATTCCTTTTATACGTTGGAGAGAAAGAATAGGCTGTTGCACACCTATAGACTCGATCTAAGAACTTTCGAATTAACACATAACTGGTATAAATTCTGTTTATACCTCAACTGATAGTTTTTTTCATGTATGGAATCCAAAAGGTAATACTGTTGATGATGATCGAAAACAAAAGAAGATATTTAAACCGTGTATCCAAGTAAAATAAGTTGAAGAAAGCTTTACTTTGATAACCAACAAGAAGGGATATTTTTTAACTTTAATTCATGATCAATATAAAAATATTTTTTGCACTAACTATTTGTAACAAAATGATCTCTCAAACAATTATTGTCATAAACAAATTTCAAAACTGTCATGATTTAGACTAAACGTAAGACATGTGTGAAAGAGAAGATTAAGTAATCTTAAAAAAATGAGAGAAAATTAAGTTGGCATTTCAAATAAAACATACTTGGTTTTTAAAGAAAACACATTATAAAGAATACCAACACGAAATAAAGAATTAATCTCTTACCTACCTAAAATCAAAAAAGAAAATTTAAGATCCTAAAAATTAAGATTTTCCCTGGTGAAACGCATTTTATTATTAACCAGGATTAAAGCAGAAGACAATGCGTGCCAGAAAAAAAGGGCAAAAAAATCATGGAAAAGAGAGAAAAAATAATAAAAATAGAGGGGAAAAAAGAAAAAACAAACACCGTGGAAATCATTGTTTGATTTAAAACAAGAAATCAACGGTTGATATTGCATCCTGTGCTTCTTATATTGAACACTAGTTTCCATTTTTTTCTCGGTCCCTCTCTCTCGCTCCTTCCTCATCGCTAGCGCTGTGCATATTCTCTCGCTCTTGCCTTCCATCACCCTCGCCATTTCCCTTCCCAAGGTCCGTTTCTAACGCTCGATCCGTTTCTTTCTCGCTTGGATCTGTTTCTTCCTTTTCCGTTTTCGATTTTCAGCTTTCAATTTTGCTTTCTTCAACCATTCCAATGGGGGCCTTCTTCGTTATCCCTTTATTAGTTGTTAGGTAGCTGGATTTCAATTGGTTCGTTGTTGGATTTCGATTTATTCCATTGGGTGGGAGGAATTTCTGATTTTTTTCATTTTCTAAACTTTTACTGGATGTGAGATGGATTATTGTTAGATTTTTTGTTTGTCTGTTGTTTCACTATGTTTTTTTCAGGAAAAAAATAATCTGGATCGTTTTTAGTTGATCGATCTGGGTGTTGTATATGGAATGGGTTTTATTTTGAAGAAAAGAACAATTTTGACTAGCTTTAATAATTACATCATTCGCCGTTGTGTTTATTTCTTTGAGATTTGTGGTCGATGGGGATGGATCTGTCTTTGTTGAGTATGGTTTTGTGTAAAGTTGTTTTCAGATGAGTAGGTAACGAATCTGGATTGTTGTTTGAGGTTGAGAGAGCACAATTATTTGTATTAGTTAACTTTTTGCCGCAATGCAATTAATTAGTTATGTTTAAAATAATGGTGAGGTGTATGGAACCTCCCTCTCTCAAAATTGAAAGAAGAGATACCGAAAAGGAAATGTAATAATGCTTTGCTTGTGGACCCTTTCTTTGGATATTTGCAACGTTTTAAGTGTTCCCTAACTTTCTAACAACCAACTATAATGGCTCATGGTGCATGTCTAATCAACTTATTCATTCAACAACATCTTTGCCCTTGTCTGAGAAATGTAGGATCTATATGTGAACGCAGGATGTAGTAATGGGTATGTGTACAGTATGTACCTGTATTTGGGATGTACTATGTTGGAACACATCTACCTCTGTCATGCAATTTGTGATACAAGTTTTTTTTGTTTTCTCTATATTAAGTATCTGCTGGTAGTCATTTGCCCAAGGTTTTGTTGTGTATTGCTGCATTAAATTATATCAGTACACCAATAATTAATTTGTCATGTGATGCTTTGTCCCGATTTACTCATTCCTTAGTCTTGATATATGTTATTTTGAAATGACTTGCTGTGGGCCTAAGGGTGAAAAATTTTAGCTTATATTCTTCTTCTTTTCTTATGCGTTGTTGTAATGGTTTAGCTTTCTGTTCATTTATGCCCCCGGACATCATTTTAATGTTTACAAAACCATAAGGATTAAGCATAGTTGGAATTGAATAGGCTAAAATTATGTTTAAATTATGTGGTCTTATCATTGAAATTCTTGGTTTTGCGATATTTATGTAGAGATTTTCTTATTCAAAATTTCCCTTCTGATCCTTTATTGGCTGTGTTTACAGAAGTGGTGCACTTCTATTGAATATTAATCATTTATACTGCAGAAAGTAGAAGATGGCAGACGCTGAGGATATTCAACCTCTTGTTTGTGACAATGGAACAGGAATGGTTAAGGTACATGATGGAGATTTCTTCCCTTTTTTTGTATTAAATTTGTTAAATAATAACTGACTGACATACTTCCGTTGGTTTTATAGGAATATCATTTTAATTCATGTTACTTATTTGAAATTGAGAAATTAATTGTAATGAATATTTGTAGGCTGGATTTGCTGGAGATGATGCCCCAAGAGCTGTGTTTCCCAGCATTGTAGGTCGTCCTCGTCACACTGGTGTGATGGTTGGCATGGGTCAAAAAGATGCATACGTTGGTGATGAGGCACAGTCTAAGAGGGGTATTTTGACTCTTAAGTACCCCATTGAACATGGAATCGTGAGCAATTGGGATGATATGGAAAAAATTTGGCATCATACCTTCTACAATGAGCTTCGTGTTGCCCCTGAAGAGCATCCAGTTCTGTTGACCGAGGCTCCTCTTAATCCCAAGGCCAACCGTGAGAAGATGACCCAAATCATGTTCGAGACCTTTAACACTCCTGCTATGTATGTTGCCATCCAGGCTGTTCTTTCACTGTATGCAAGTGGTCGAACAACTGGTAAGTTAATTTTGAATTGTTTGAGTAGCTTCAAAATTGTATAGTTTGAACTTATCTTGGGGCTTTGAAGTTGATTTTAACGAATGTGAACATGCATGAGCATCTACAAGTCTGCATGTTTAACATTCCATTTTTCTGATACATTAGAATAAACTGTAAATGATTCTTTTGACTGTGAACTATTTCACTTAACATATCACTAAATGGGAGAAAGAACATTTTTGGTGAACTGGGGAGCATTTTGGAATCTTGATTATTGAAAACTGCTATCAAGTTTCCAAATATCAGGTGATAAACTTCAAGTTTATTTATTTGCCTTCTCTTTGCAGGTATTGTGTTGGATTCTGGTGATGGTGTCAGCCATACTGTTCCTATCTATGAGGGTTATGCTCTCCCACATGCCATCCTTCGTCTTGATCTGGCTGGTCGTGACCTCACTGATTTCTTGATGAAAATTTTGACTGAACGTGGTTATTCTTTCACCACCTCAGCAGAGCGGGAAATTGTAAGGGATGTTAAAGAAAAGCTGGCCTATATTGCCCTTGACTACGAGAAAGAACTCGAGACAGCCAGGACCAGCTCATCTGTGGAGAAGAGCTATGAGTTGCCTGATGGGCAGGTCATCACCATTGGAGATGAGCGATTCAGATGTCCAGAGGTTCTGTTCCAACCATCCATGATAGGAATGGAAGCTTCTGGCATTCACGAGACAACATACAACTCCATTATGAAGTGTGATGTTGATATCAGGAAGGACCTTTATGGTAACATTGTCCTTTCTGGAGGAACAACCATGTTCCCTGGCATTGCTGACAGAATGAGCAAGGAAATTTCTGCATTGGCACCCAGCAGCATGAAGATCAAGGTTGTAGCACCACCTGAGAGAAAGTACAGTGTCTGGATTGGTGGTTCCATCTTGGCATCTCTCAGCACCTTCCAGCAGGTTTGTTCTCCTCCTTTATTCTTCTGTGCTTCTTTGAGTGTTACTGTTGAGATTCATTTTTCTATGCCTAATAATGACACAACTTGTTTTGATTGCAGATGTGGATTGCAAAGGCAGAATATGATGAGTCTGGTCCATCAATTGTTCACAGAAAGTGCTTCTAAAGGGTTGACAAATAGGGTTATTAAGGGAAAGACTATGATGATTTGTCTGGAAGCAATGCATTGCAGATTGTAATCCTTTCATTCTAGCTTTTGTTATCAGTTCATGTTATTCTCTTGTTGGAGTGGTCATTTATTTGCAGAAGGTGAGGGGAGTTGTTTTTGAAAATGGTCCAGTTCTTTTCATGTACTTTGATAAGTTTTTGACTGGTTCATTCTGCCATATTAGTTAGCTGGATTATCAAACTACGCATGTACTCTTTGTATGCATAATTATAATCCTTCATCCGTTGAACTACAATTTTATCTCTTCATTTGTTTAAAGACACCCTATATTTTCTAGTGCTACTATACACTAGAAAGAAAATTTAAATGTTTTTTTTCTGCCTCGGGTTGCGTGTTTATATTATTTCTGTTCCGACAACTGATATGGGGCTACGCAAAAAATATAAAGTGCTACAAATCATAAGATAACCACAATAAAACACTGTCGGTACCAACATAATTAAAGCTTCGAGCACTATCTATACCTATACGCTACGTTTAACTTTTTAACCGCCAATGAATGCTTCTATCTACAACATAATTAATGTCAGAATAATTAATGGTACTACCGAGTTCATCTATGTCAACTACTAATGCCTTTTATTATCCATTTCTATCTGTATTTTACTATAAACACAAGACCTTGCTGGCAATTAGTATTTCTCCTTCCCTCCCAACTAGGCAAGGCAACGGGGCGGGGGCCGGTTTTGCCTCCCCCGGCCCCGCCCCCGACTTTTTTAACCATCCCCGCCGGGGTTAGGAATTAAGTTCCCGTCCCGTTGGCTTTGGGCTCCCGTCCCGTCCCCAATTTATATTATTTTTAAAAAAATAATTATATTTATAATAAATTAATTTTACTATGTATTTTTATATATAAATAAATATTTATAATTTATAGTTATTATTAATTAAATATACATTTTAATTTATTATATTTATATTAAAATATATATGTAAAAGAAATATTTAATTATTTTTTATTTATATATATATATAATATTTATAACATTATTATTATTATTATTATTATTATTATTATTATTATAACACTCGTATTCAAATATTTGAATATTTATAACATTATTATTATAATACTGTATTCAAATATTTAATTATACATATAAGTTAATTCATTTTTAAGTTGTCAATATATAGTTTATAAGAAAATATTTAATAAGTTAATTCTTATTTAATTAGTTTGAAGTAATAAAAGTTTAAATTATTAATTTCTTTTAATCCTTTAAAATGCAATTATTTTATTAAGATAAAATTTGATATATGATAAATAAGCATAATAAGATAAAAAAATATGGCATAATAAATATAAATTATAAATAAACTAATATTAGTTACTACTAAGATTGATGTAAAATATTTAGAAAAAGATAAAGAAAAAAATTAACTTTGTGTTCATCAAATTGGTTGAAAAGATTGAAAAAAAAACAAATTAATGGGAGAGACTAAGAAAATGTGAAAAAACTGAAAAATAAGGGAGAGAATAATATAATAAATTAATTGATATAAAAGATTGAGAAAGATAAAAAAAATTAAAAAGTGGGTAGAAGAAAAATAAAAATTGGTGAAATATAAAAAAATAACCTTATATGTAATAGAAAAAGAAAATGAAATACTTTTAAAATATTAATATTTTAAAATTTAAATTTAAATATAAAGTCGGAGCGGGACGGGGCGTGGTCGGGGTGGGGATTGCATTACCCTTCCCGCCCCGCCCCGACTTTTAAAGCGGGAAACCCGAACCCGACCCCGACCCCAGTCAACTCGGGGTTTCCCTGTCAAACTCGAGGCGGGGACGGGTCGGTCCCCACGGGTACGGGTTTAATTGTCATCCCTACTCCCAACTACTTACTCGCACTCTTGCATTACAAGAACATGACAGCATATTCAGTTAGGATTGAAGATGTTCTTAGTGCTCCACAACTATTTACGGTTGGTAGGTTGCATAATCGTTGGTTGTATAAAATTCTGTTTTATCTGCACTACATGTTATTTTCATGTATGGAATCTAAAGTTATGCTGAAATATTTTTTTTTACTGGAATAACCTTTTATGCCATTTCATTAGCAATCAAGGAAGCAATTCGTAGAGAATATTTATAAAGGCAGAGGACGAAGTATAATCTAAAGTTGTCTTTGCCAAAACATGATATTGCCTTGCCTCCTCACAAACTTAAAATCCTGATGTTGATAGTGAAGATTTGATGAAATTATGGAACAAGGAATGTAGTGTTTAGTGAGTATATATTAATATAACTAGGTATAATTATCTATATTTTTTTACAACATGAGGTTATATAATTTGAAAGGAATAAAAATGTTTTTAAATATTTTAATATGTTTTAATCGATTAATATGTTTTTAAGTCTCAGGATATACTTACAAATTAATCGATTAAAATCAGTTAAAAACACTTTTGACACATTTTTTAAATGATGTATTTTTTAAATAATCAATTAAAATTACTTAAACTAAGTGTAAGCATATTTTGTCGCAATTTTAATCGATACATATTTGAATTAATCGATTAAAAATACTTAAGAAGCTTTAGAAAATGTTATGTCAATATTTTAATCGATTAAACTTGGAATTAATAGATTAAAAACACTTAAGAAGCTTTAGAAAATATTCTGTCAAGTATTTTAATCGATTAAAATCATTTAAGGATTTTTGAGTAATTGTTTTAATCGATTAAATCGTGTTTTTATCAGTTCAAATATTTTTCAAAAGTGTTATACAATATTTTAAGCGATTAAATGATATTTTCATCAATTAAAACAATTATAATAAAAAAATTAATCGATTAAAAGATGAATTAACTAATTAATTAAACCAGTTTGTTAGAAAAATCTTTATATAAACATATTTGTTTTAACATTTTAACCACACATCTTTTAGAAATCATTCAAGCAATCAATAAAGATCTTTTTAAAAGAGAAATGTATTATTCCAAGTGTGAATTTTTGAAGTTCTTTTTTGGACATTTTTATATTTTTTCTTGTGAAGAAACTCATTCTATAGTGGGATTTCAACATCTACATAATCGGGTTTGATTGTTCTAATTTTTTCATTATTTCAATTCTATTTTGTATTGTGTTTAGAAGATTGGACATTGGTTCTCAGAATCGAAATTTGGTTGCAAGTTAGATTCAAGGACTGAAATTTGGTTCTTGGTGCAGGTTTGGTTTTGCAACTGAAATTTGGTTGCAGATTGAATTCTAGAATTGAAATTTGTTTCTTGGTGCAAGTTTGGTTTTGCAACTGAAATTTGGTTGCAGGTTGTATTCAAGAACTGGAATTTGGTTATTGGTACAAGTTGAATTTTATATAATTTGATTATGGAAATCAAACTGTTCAATCTAGTGGAACTCAACTAGAATTTGGTTGAGTACTGGACGTAGTTCAATGATTTGAATGAACCGTATAATTTTGTATGATTCTTTTCCTCTTCCATCACTTTTTTTAATTCTACTTAAACTTTATTCAATTCAAATTAGTTTTTTTTATTTCAATACTTAGATCAAATTTCTTAATATTTGAAATTGTTAATTTATATCTATAAATTGCATAAAAAATTTATAAAAATTAATTCATTTCCTCTTCATGTTAGCCTATAATTCTAACAGTGCATTCCCTCCTAAGTGCACCCATTTCAGATGCATCAGTACGGGGAGATTGAAGCTTTTACACAACCCACAATGCAATCCCATTGCAGAAACCCATTTCACAGCAACAATTTGTTCCAGCCTCACCATCTGTAACATTTGCATCTTTCCACTCGTCAGTAACATTTAGCTACATCAAAATCCTTGACCTACCAAACCCATAAGTTCTGTTAGCTCAAATACTCCAAATTACCATACTAGCTTTGGTCAGATCACAAGGATCAAATTTTTGCAATATACGATCAAAAATACTTAGATTTTGAAGGGATCTCTTTTTACCAAAACATCCGGGTTAGATAGAAATTGCCAACCTTACTTCCTAAGTATTGCTAAATTAAACTCCTTGCACACCACCATTTTCTCCCATGCTAACCATCCTATACCTTTCGAATACCTTAAAAAGGAACCTACCAAAAAGAAATTCAACATGCCTTCAATTTCCTCATCAAAACAGGGGAAAAGTTGTGTGTAGCAAGTACCAACTAAAAAGTAAACTCACCCTATTGAAGGGGAAATATAATATATTTTCTCAATACAGGTTATATATAATAAACTAAAATCAGAAAGGAACAAGCTGTATATGAATTGCAAAAGTTGCATGTGAAAATTGATAGACTGTATAAAAAATTTAAACAAAAACCCATCACTTTATAAATAATATAATACAGCTGCTTCATATAATTGCACTTCATGTGAAAAAGTGCCATAGAAATCAATGACATGACGCAAGAATTTAGTTCAACCACTGCATAACAAAACATACATGGCAAAGCCAATATAACAATAATCACTATTGATTACTTATTTCCCCCTAAAGTCAAGAATAGTTCTTTATCTGCTTTTAGTATATTCTTCAGTTCAAATTAAAATTTCTTCTTACTACCCTACTCTGATCAACGTATTCTTAAATTATCTTAATCTTTCCTTATATTTTAATATGTAATTTTTAAATTAATATTTTCTTTAATATATATAATTTTTAATTCAATCTTTAAAAAATAAGAAATATATTCTTAATTTATATATTACGATGATAATCATTAGTAATTTATATTATATTTTATATATATATATATATATATATATATATATATAACTAAAATTTTTAAATATGTCTCTTAAACTTATTCCATATCTTAAAAGAATTGATATAACAGCATATCAAATACGTATTGTATGTATGTACATCATAGTCAAACGATATTATTGTATCTTAAAAGCTTGATCTTGCTTCAACATTTTCGATTCGTCTAGCAGTTTCACAATTTACTCAATTTTCATGACATCAAACATAGAGCATTAGGATAATACTGTAAATCACTGCATGGTTCAAAAATGTTTCATAAATATCATAACTGAGTTATGGATTCCATCTTATAAAAGAAAGACTACTTCTATCTTAATCATATTCTGATTTCATTCGTTGGAGTCTTCTGTAAATGGTGACCATATTTTCTCTTTCCCTGTTTGCATTCAGTTCAAGAATCACAAATCATATCATAACATTGACTGGCACTATATATTTGTACATATTTATACCCTTTCTTTTATTCTACACTGTCCAAACTTACGCGTAGTTCAAGTGCTACGTCTATATATATAGTAAATTCTTGTAACATCTCATCACACAGAAAGCAGGGATGCTATAATCAGTTTCTCTTCATCGTTGAAGGGGTGATATTCTTCTGTGTCTCCTGAATTTGAATCATTTTCTTGCTTTAGGAGCTTTGAATTGTCCATGTCTTCAAGAATCTGTTGTTCTCTCATATTTCCATCCACGAGACTGAGTTTCTTTCCAAAGCTTATGAAATCATATTTTTCATATTGGCGATCATCATAGTAAGAGTTACATCTCCCATAAATCTTAGAAGGTAAGTCACTTAACCTTTCATCTATTGCTGAGCTTCGTTGGTTAAAACTTCCAAACCCTTTGATTGCATGAGAAAGATGACGTGCTCTTGCTCTTTCTTCTCTGAGAAAATCCTTGTTTCTTAAGAGCTTTAATACTCTTTCTGATAATTTTCCAACACTCAAACCCCAGTTGAACCTGCAGAATAATGGAACAATGTAATCACTTGGTTCATGCAACAACGTTTAGGTCACAAAAATGAGTTGAGACAGTACCAACCCTTTCTCATCAATGTGCTGAAATTGGCCAATCTCTTCAATAACATCAATATCACTTTGAAACTCCTCGGATACTCTTTTAGGTCCATGAGTTAGAAGATGTTCCAGTAATATAAGAGCCTTGTATGAGGCTCTCCAATACCCTTTATCAAATTTGGACAATCTGCTTTTTCCACAAAGCTAGATCACAATTATTACACTTCACCAAAAAGAGTTTAAGATTAGAATAACCAAATCAGGACATAAGAAACCGAAACCTGTGATGCAAAATCTCCATGATTCTCTCATATTCATCCACTTCGAAGGCAGCTCGTGATATTACACTCGTGGTACGTGTGTCCGGTGGCCATGGATTCTCATTAGTGGCTTCTTCTGTCATTCTTTCAGATACCAAAAAAATAAAAATAAAAAAAATCATTGTCAAACATGTGTAAATATCAAGTGTTTGATAGCACCATAAACGAATAAAATGGTTACACATAAAAGATTAAAAAATTAAAATTTATTTCATTCTACCAAACAGTTTCACATGTTTTAACCAATTCCTTTGATCTTTAATAAATAGGAAATAGTAATAACACCAGGTTTCTTAAGACTTAGTCCGCAAAAAAAAGAGTCCTTTGATAGATGATATATCATCCCTTCCTTGCCAAATAGCAAATAAACTTGAAGCATGATTTAGTTCCATAAAAAGAACTTGCATAGTTTTTCTGCCTTCCTGGTAATGTTGGGAGAAGGACCACTTTTTCATTTTCAAATATTCAATATATCAAAAGCATGATTGAGTTGAGACAGAAATGATTACATGCTTCAGGAACATCATATCCCGACTAATCTCCACGTGATACATAACTGAGTTTCATTACTTTTACTGGTAAATCGAAAATCTAAAACGCATGCGATTTAAAATCGTGTAATAATTTCTGTTTGAGGTCGTAGTCAGAACAAAAAGGAAGACTTACAACTGTACTGGTGTAACATCAGTGAGAACCAGCCTTGCAATTTTAATCTTTTCCTTCAAGAACCGAAATGCTTGCCCTTTGATTTCATGGATGAGAGGAGAACTCATATTTGCAGTTTTTTATGGTGACGAAGATTTTGAAAACTAGTTTTATTATATAATGTATAATTTCCGTTGGCATGGACGCAACAAATGCAACTGCTCCATTACCAAAAGCAAAATATTTGTTATAAAGTGGAGTTGCATATGTAATGAGAGGTAGAATAACTGAACAAGCCTATCTTGTGATTATTCAAAGCCAAGTTTTGCTGAAGCGTCTTTGTCTTTAAGTACATGTCGTTTGCAAGAGTGCCTTGAACTGCTCATTATGACGAAATCAATTTTTAAATAATACTTTTATCATTAACTTTTATAATATATATAATCACTTAATTCTTATAATAATAATAATAATAATAATAATAATAATAATAATTTGAATATTATAGTTTAATATAATATTATTTTTTTAAAATTATCAGATGATTTTATACGGAAAAATGGATTGCATGCCATCACTTATAAAAAATGCTTGTTGATCTCAATTCTTTAATCTATGGTTGACTAGTTATACATACGAAAAAAAATTGATCTAACCATTTTATTATTATTAAAATAACAATAGAATCTTAATTTTGTAGATTTATTATTACTATAATAATAAATATGATTTTTAGAATATATATAGTTGTGATATATATACATCCATCATTTACCAAACACCTTTTAACAATATTTTTTAGATTTTTATATTATTATTTATGTATTCTATCCCATTTTCTTTCTATCAATAAAAAATTATTATTTTAAAGATACCAATTGAATGTTTGTAAAATTTAGGTTGTGAATTATTATTTCATATGTATATGGTTTAAGTTATTTATGTAGCGCTGCTATTATAAGCAGTGCATACGCGTGGGTATATAGAAATTTCTGCCACCGTCATGTATATCAATATAAACATAGTTTAAATGAAAGGAGCTCAAATAGTTTGAGTTATGTATATCCATCTTCAATTTTAACCAACTAAATATAACACAATGGTTTGCAGTTATTTTCTTACTAATATTTTAGTTTGTACATTACACAATATAAATAGTTATTTTATATAATTTAAACATATTATATATATATATATATATATATATATATATATATATATTTAACCACATAAATTATATTATAATTCAAATTTATAATGAATAATATTTTTGAATATACATTATAGTTTAGACTGATGATAAATAATTTAAATTGTGATATTTTTAAATTTTATTTTAAAATAAAGATAAAAAATAATAATTTGATACATTTGATAATATTTATTTAGCTAATTGATATGGGAGTAGAGTGAAACATACATTCCAAGAACAGGAAGGCGAAAATATTGAGATAAAAAAAAACAAAAAAAAAAGGAAATTTTCACCCTTCAAGTTATGTATTTTATTTTAGGCTCTGACATGAGAGTGAAAATTTCCCAGCAAATAATATTAATACATTTCAAGCATGTAAAAAGGTATTGTTAGGAAGATGTCAAATACTACTCAAACATCTGACCGTATCTAGATAAATCTGTCACTCTATGGTAGAAAGATATATAGAGACAATAAATAAAATTTAGTACTCAATTCATAAATTTTTCCCAAATTTCATCCAATAATTTCCTCTGGTGTAAACTCTACGCTATTATATCCCTTATTATCATGACATGTTTGATACTTTTATCATAAAAACACAAAATAAAAATATAAATTAAGACAAAAACCACAGATCAAGTAAAATAACAAGGTCTCTCTTTCACCTCATTTTTCTAGCATGATCATAAATTTATTAACTTTTGTCGTCAAGTGACAGGTGTAGGTGAGGGAATTGTGCGTAAAGAACGTGTACAAGGTGTCGAGCTTAAGCACGGGATTACATAAAGCCAAGCCTTTAACAAATAAAAACGGGTTTCACCTTCTTGTTTTATGGAAGCGATACGCACTAGCCATCACATTTACATTCAGGAGAGATGAACAAAAAAGCATCAACAACTCACCGATTTTGGACAACAATGTCCTTCAAATGAAAGGAATAAGAAGTTATATGACTAAGAAAAATACAACCAATGTGATTAGAAACTATGCCCAGCCAAAAACATAATAATTAGTTGAATATATTTTTACCCAGTACAAATCGCAATACTAGAAAAATAAAGAAGACGAAAGCCTCCATCAACCGACACTGAACGGCATAATCGTAAGGTTATGGTCAGTCCTACAAACTTTAAATATCGCATTATTGTCCCTTGAGCCCGGTATGAGAGTATATGTTCTCTCGTGTAAGAGATGACTCTTCGTTTGATAGGAAATGCCCCTTTTCTTCCCAGTAAGTTGATCATGGAAGCTCAAGTAGAATTAGAAATTCTCCACATACCGGTCCTGTACCCCACGGTCATGAGCACAAGCTCCCAAAGCATGTTAGGTATACTCAGAAGATTAACCTTGGATCCTGGAATCTCAGACCAATTCACAGAAACTTCTGAAATTGGGATCCTAAACCATTTGCACAGAAAGACTAATTCAACATCAAAGCACCACCTGCAGACAATGGTAAAGGCTATTATAGAAAATTTGAAAAGTTTTCACTATATATGTTAGCCATACAACTTAGGTATAAATATGCAGAAAGCTTGTTTGAACGAAGAACCACCACAACTTGAAAACAAACTTATCTTTCTGACCAACATCAAAGTCTTACCCCACTTAAGCTAGGTTGGTTACATGGATCACACTACACCATACGGCTTAGTTAAAGGCCTAAGCTCAGAAATATTATCCAATATTTTCAACATTAACAAAATATGTTTTATATTCTACAAGATATATGATTTTCACTGTTGCTAAATGTCAATAACATGAGATTGCTTCCTCTAATTTCAAATTAGTGTATGGGAAAAGCTAAATAAGCCATCTATGTTTAAGAATATGCAACTTAGGGGTTGTTATGCATTATAGCTATCGTGAATCCTCCATAAAAAAAAAGGCACTGCATAGATCAATGAAGAACAAAAGATTTACCCTAAAAAAAGTTATATAAAAAATTTACTAATAAAATTAACCCAATCATTTTCTACTATTTCTGAATTAAGATTTAATTTCCTTTCAAAACTTAAGAAGTTATTGAATTCTATAGAGATCTAAAAGCAATTACCTTTTTAAGCGGACATTTGAAAAAAGCTTCCTGGCTGCAGCCCTAGTGAACATCTTGAAACCACACTGTGGAAGTACAAGGAATATCAGATAATAAAAACCAACATCAAATATACACGGATCAATCACTAGCATTGCATAAGCTGATAAGCACTGAAAAGGCAAATCATGCTAATGTCAAAAGGACTTGATGTCACAACTACCATGTCTGGTGTAGCTTTGATCTCTATGTACACATAAGCTTTATTCCAGTAAAAAGAGTGTCAACTAAAATGGAAGGCCAAAAATTAATGAAGAAGGAAATTGCCTGTGTATCACGAATTCCAGGACCAGCAGCCAAGAGAACCACAAGATGGAAGCCCTTCATCAAAAAATTGCGGTACCATTTCCTCTGAAAGCATTAATGGAAGTTATTCAACCAAGATGATCTACATATACGGCAACAATAAAACAAAGAATGAAGGGGGCCACACTTAACTGTAGCTAAAGCTTTTTCCTCTAGATGAGCTCTTGAACCAAATACAGCAACTGGGATATCAGATATTCTAAATCTAGGATCACTATTGCTTGAATCTCCCTGGTGATATTCGCTTTTGGCAACAGCTTGAATCTGATACCAAAACATTAGACAATGCATATCAACATTTGGCACCAGAAACATTTCTAAGATTTGATTATAAGATCTATGAAAACTGCCATTGTAGCATTCCACAAACCTGATTTTCAAGCTTTTCTAGGTCGGTGATCTTAGTTGCTCCATCAGCATCAAGCATAAGAAGTAGTTCACCACGAGAATGCAACATTCCCTGTAATAGAATGCTTTCAAGGAAAGAAGAAAGCCTTAATTAATTATCAATAAGCATAGTGTGACCCAGAGGCATTTGACTTTTGACATGAGTATATTTTAAGATATTTTTTAGTTTAAATTAGACTCACTTTTCTGATTGCTTCTCCTTTTCCATGATTTCTTCCTAGAAGAATGACCCTGACCTTGTCTACTGTGTATTTCCTCACAAATTCAAAAGCTACTCTTTTTGTCTCATCAGCACTCCCGTCATCAATAATTACAACCTGCACAAGTGTAAATTGTGAACAGAATGTGGAAGTGTACCCACAGAAAGTTAGCATTTGGAAGAAAATAAGTTTAGCAAAGTGTTTCAGATATACTACGTTAGGCTATACTGATTTTAATGAACATAGAAAGTACTTTCACTTCATATTAGTAAGCTCAAAAGTGAAATAAAGCCTTTTATATGTCCACCAAATACCCTCATCATGTGACGTAGAAATTTCTTTACAAATCTATATTAATATTCCCAAGACAATAAGCTATAATCTAAAAGTCTAAAACACAGTTCCAAGAGAATGGAATTTAAACAGGGTTATATAGATAAAAAAAACATATGTAGTAAAATAAAAGGAACTACAAGTACCTCATATGTAAATGATGGATCCTTTAAAGTACGTTGTTGAAGATAACTACAAAGCAAGGCATAGATAGATTACATTCATAGTACCAAACTTAAACAATAAATGTCATGTTACTTAACAGGAGAAGCAGTTAGGAAATTAGTTACATCAATACTCTATGCATATGAAGTCCTAACCATTTCAAATAAATAGAACCGTGAAAAAAGTGCATATAAGTTTGTGTTTTCCCTTCTTTTGGCTTCTTACCATGGTTGTTTGTACTTCTCTCTCTTTTTCAGGGAAGGGAAGGTTAAAAAGGTTGACATATCAGATGAATCTGTCATGTAAACAACCACTTACAAAAACTAATCAATACACAGAACACACTATGTGGAAAGTATATTCCAGAAGAAATAAGGCAAGGTTGTTAGGAGTTAGTAGTGAGATGGCAGTTAATAAATGTGAGGGTAGCAGGAATATAGACTGCTTGTTGGGATTGGCAGCATTTGATTGGTGAGGGTCAGTTAGGCAGGTATCTTTCCATGAGGAGCCAGAGGCTCGGTGCTCATCTTTCTTTAATGACCGTTTAGTTATCTGTGATTGAATAATAAGGTAATACCTTTGATCATCCTCTCTGGTGCTCAACCAGAGGAAAAGACAGAATACAAAATTATGAAAGTAGCTTAATAAACTCATTGCAATTGATACTATACACACACAACAAAAACTACATAACAGAACAACAAAGTGGACTGACTCGGTTGTGACTGACCCAAATCCTTTTATTGATATTAAAATTGAAAACATAAATCAGTTAAAAACAACTCGCTTTCACTTACTTTATAGTTTCATCAAGAGCTCCTGGAAGCCTATTCTCCTCATTGAATGCAGGAATAATCAATGAAATATACTTTGTGGCTGGATCAACAATATGTGGGCAAGGAACCTAAATGTGCAAGAGTGTCAGTCAAAATAAATTCACAACAGGGAGCTACCTTCATAAAGCTATGCATTGACTTGAAACCTCTCAGAACAAATTAAAAACATGTATGTGCAAGATACAAATATAGGTAACTGAAATTACATTTCTACTTAGTTTCTAGAAAGGAACATCAGTATACACAATGACGACCAAATAAGAGACTGTTGGAGCACTGTATATTGAAATTCTTTCAGTGCAGTGTCAAATTCGCTTGTAATTACAAATAATTCCTCTTGAAATTGACATTAGAACCTAATTATAAAACTAGAGATTAAGGAGATGCCATAAATGGCCAACCACTCCAGCTCAAAATTGAGCAGATATTGCAGATGAAAGAGAAAGATGTGTGCAATTTGAATAAGTTCACCTAGTTAAGGATCAGTATTGCAAATAATAAAAACTAGTAGGAATTCAACTCATGATGCGATGGAATATACAAAAGTGATAGTAATATGACAAATGGCAAACTATTCAAATACTAAAGGGTGCTTGTTGAGGTTAATATTTTGAAGCTGTATAATGTTAAACTTAAATAGATCAGGCATAACAATGTTACATTTATGGAAGAACAGTACTCAATAGCTTCAGCTTTTGTGGCACTAAAGAAATCTAAAAAACATACATGTTGTTAGAAATAGCTAAATCTAAGAAGTCCATCTCTTTTTGTATCATGATATCCAGATATATTTGTTCGTCTGCCCTGCATAATACACATAGAGATTTTATTCATATATATCTCTACCATTTACTTTAACATAGTATCTAGAGCCTAAACCTTAACTTGTGGCTTCATTATCCCTTTGTTGAGTCCCTCTTATTGTTGTTTTCTCTCTCCTATAGGGTTCATAATCACTTCAACTTTGATTAGGTCTGATTCTCCTATTTTCACTAATTATGTCAATGTGCCTATCTCCATTAACAAGTTAGATAGAAAAATTATGACACATTGACATCTTATATTAAGTTTTGGTTGAAAAGACAAGATTATATTGATCATCTTACCTAGAAAGCAACATCCATTGATGAAAAAGATCAATCTCTTTTTGGCTATATGTTTTCACCAAATCAATACGAGATCCTAAAATTGACTATATTCAACAATCATGGTAAATATGATTTATATGTATGCACCAGTTTAAAGAAGAGTGTTAGAACTAGCTAAATATATGGGTCCAAGTCCATCTGTTTTTCTATTATGATATCTATATATATTTGCTCCTCTATCCCACATAATACACAAAGATTTTATTCATATATCTCTCTAACATTTAATTTTAAACATGTTATCATGTAGAAATTAATCGCAGCCCCTGATATGGGCTCCCAGTCAGTAATATATTATTCTCATGTGGGATTACTTTCTATTGTTTTATGCTGAGTCCATCCATTATACAAATAGGAAAACACTACAAAGTGGTCATACTTCATATTTCAATCAAATTTCTCTCGCTTCCTGATCATTAGCTTGTAATGTATATGTTTAATTCCATGGTAATCCTATATCACGGAAGATAGAGTAGAACACGTTTCCTCCAGATATGCAATCTTCAATTGCTAAAAGTTTTCATTTACAAATTTCCGAAACCCTTGCAGCAACAAAATCACCAATTTGCAATACTAAATTCACTGGTGAATCCTTTAAAACGTATAAAAAAAAAAAAAAAAACAACATTCTACTGAAAAGGGGTGATTGTTTGAAAAGTGGACTCCTAAATTCTGTCAGTCTAGACTAATTCCACTAAACTAAGCTTATTAAAGAAAGCCCCAGAATAAAAGATTGCTTACAAAATTTTGCATATCTTTTAACACAATGTAAAGGGAAACGTTTACCTGTTTCAATGAGCTAGGATCCTCAAAAATAGCTGGAACTTCAATATGCCTTTTGAAAATCAAAATGGAAATATCAAACTAATAATCCCTGTCCACATATACATTTAATATTTTAGAGCATATATTAGAATAGTATAAAAAAGGACATACTGATGGTTGTTTCTTCTTTTATATGCTTCAAAAACCACTACAGAGACAAACCCTAAGATCGCAATCGCAGAGAAGGCTACCAAAGGACACGTATACTCCATTCCTATTCAGATGCTGCAGCTACTGCCAGTTTCTTGCCCCTGTCATGAAGCACGTAGCGTTCGCATACATTGTTCAGAATAAACAACACATGGCAGATAAAGAATCGTGCAACTCAACTTACAACTATGTGATAGTACATTCAAAACAAGTTAAAACGAATACTATTTAGTCAAATTCAAAACATTGATTTCATCATCACCTTAGTCCCTACCATCAATTGATTTTGTGTATAGAAAAATTATGACAGGAAACAAAATAAAACTAGAAGAAGCAGTGATGGTCAGAATAGAGTCAAAGCATATCGATTATCAATGTTCGAAATGTACATTTTTAAAAATAGTAAAGGAATCAAACGGAAATACTGAATCGAATATTCAAAGAAGAGTTAAAGATGAGATATGAAAGATGGTTTCGAAGAATTACCAAAATTGAATTGAACGAAGAGAGAGCACGCTCAAAGTCGTTGATCAACACTTCAACCCGACCCAAACACACCGTCATTAGCTCGGTTTTCTTTCTTTTAACCGGACTTTTCTTTCTTCTATACGCGGGCCTCAGCTACAAAACGACATAACAAGACTAGACAGGACCCAAATTGAAAGGCTCGACTAGTTTTGTACAAATGGGAATTTTTATCTAAACCCAGGATAGGCCCAATACGCTTTAATGGGTCTATTCAAATTGTAGTACGCATTCGACCTTTTCTTTGTGCACCGTAACAAAAAATGGGAATTGACTAAATTCGTTCTTTTATCTATAGAAATGGCTGTTAAAATAAATTTACTAAAATATATTGATCCGATACATTGTTTATGTTAAATTAAAATATTTATAATCTAAATTAAATCAGATTTATTTTAATAATATTAGTTTAAGTCATAATTTATTATTAGTTTAAGTCATAATTTATATTAATTTAAATTAGACTAAACTAGTTTATCCATCCAATTATTTTATAAAATAATAATTAATTTTTAAATAAAAAATAATATTATTTAAAATATAATTATTATAAATTAATTTGGTAAATAATTTATTAAATATAAATATAAAAATAATTTTCTAATATCAATTTATTATAAATATAATAACTAATATAAATTATTATTTTAAATCATTAAATTATAAAAAATAAATAATAAAAATAAAAACTAATTTTTTATGATAAAAAAATAATTTTTTTATAATTTATATATAAAATTATTATATCTGAATAAAAATTAATTTCTTTAAAATAATTTAAAATTTAAAAATATATTATTTATTTTTTAATAAATTATTTTGATATAAACATGTTAATAATTTTATTTTTTTTATTTTTAATCAGATCAAAATTAATTCATCATCATGTTGATCTAGGAATAGGTTAAATAAAAATGATAATTTTTTTAAAATATAACATTATCAATTCTATTTATTTTATTAATTAGTTTATCATTGTTGTTTAGATTTACCTATACTTTTTATCCCGTAATTTAATCTGATTTTGGTGTAACTGATTGTTTATTGTTACCTAAAACTTAATCAAATAACTAACAGAAAAAAAGATAATATATTGTATCCTTGAGTTGTTTAGTAAAATAAGATGCATAAAATATTTAAAGAAAAAAAAATTATTCGTTTATATATTTTTCTTTACAAATGTGTCCGAATAAATGATGCTATATTTCTTTTACATTGCTGTTAGATTAAATTATAAGTGGCATAATTTAAACAATTAAAAAATTATAAGAATCTAATATAAAAAATTTAAATTAAAGAAATAAAAGTCCAAGTTTTTTTTTATATACTTTATTTATGTCTTTAACAAGGTGGTGATGTGATGCACCATGTCTGGCGTGAATCCGTGTCATGAGTTCTTGAAACGAAAATGTTTTCATTCGCACATAGCAGTACTCACAACAAAACAAAGGGGAAGAACCATTTTCTCATTATAAATTTTTTCCAAGAAAATTTTCCACGCACTATAAACACATAGTACTGCTAAGTTCCAACATGTGACACTCTATAATGCGTCCTAGTGGTGGCACCACCTACAACCCTACACATTTATTAGGTCAATACTTCAATCTCAAAGGACCCATGACCCCCCAACCTAATTACATTTTATGGCCACACATAACATATGAAAGATGAGTAAAGGTGAAGGATTTGTGTTTACAACTGCAGCTGCAAGGATTGACGCACACAAATGTCCATTATTCTTGTGAAGATTAAAGTAAGGTGGCACTTGACATGGGTCCTAACAGGCCATGATTAAAGCCACAGGTTGGCACAGGGAAAAAGAAACGTGGTCTCTTTCTTTTCTTTTTTTCTTCCTTCACTTTTCTGAACCATTAGAAACTTTATGGAGAGGGAAAAGGTTGTCAATTGTAATGCTTCCTTCTCCATGGATCCCATCTTCACCATTCTACTAAACCAAACTTCATCACTGCTATGTTACCATATTCACATCTAGATTGAAGAATGATTAAATTTAAGATAATCTTCATACTTCACGTAGACAGTCACATTTTAAAATTTCAGGATTATTTGGCGTTTTTCTACTTATGGAATACTTTTGTAATATTAGGGCGGTTCATGGATCACGGGATGGATTGAGGCACAATTTACCACAGAACATTTTGCAGGGGAAAACATGAATTTGACAGTTTTTGTCTCTTGAATATTATCCCGTAGTGGCAAACTATTGCTTCCTTTAATTCCATTGATACCCTCTATGCATTGATAATTTTACATCAAGTACTTGTACTATGGTTAGTTAATGACTTTTTTTTCAAGAAACATTGGGTTTGGTTATACTGTGTTATGATATATATATATATTTACTCTGCACAGAGAACAATAATAGAATTTCTTACCATAACTTTCAACGACTGAACTGGTTTCTGTGCTAACTGTAATGGAAGTGGGTTTATCTCATATTAGAATATGCAGAGATAAATTTGCAGAATCATTTTTGTTTCTAAAGTACTAGCTGTGAATAAATTAAGAACAGATATTTCAACTATCAACAATTCTCAAGTGCTATTGCTGGAAAATATGTTTTCCTGGAGTAGGTTAAGATTGTAGGTAATAAAAACAAAAAAGTAAGCAAAATCTGCACCCCCTTTGCAAATTTGTATTAGTTGAGCAGTTGTCAACAAAAAGGACAATTGCAACCCCTGGATTCATTCATCCACTGTATAACCTTCAATTTAGTACCCAATTATTCACGCTACATTACACTTTCATTTTCCCCAAATTTAAAAGAAAATACAGATCAAACAAGATCATCAACAAATAAACCAATAATAAGCCTCCCAAAATTCGAAAGACTAGAAACCAAGTTAACAAATTAAGCCAAAATATTTATCTTTTAAGACCCTAATAATGAAGATGATGTTAATGTGAAGAGGAACACATGTTTATATAAAGTCCGATGATGAAGATGATGATGAATTGATTCACAGCTTAGCCTAATGGGCCATGGCTACCTGGGGGTGTGACTCTGAGTAACTGATGCTTCTCTGGTGAGGCATGGAAAGCATGGCAGTGTGATCCAAGAAATCTTTAAGCTCCACCACAGACTGCAGAATAGTCCTTAGATCCTCAGCACAGGAAAAGCCAAAGCTTCCAACCTGTCTAACAGCATAGACATAGAAAGTTATGCACCCTTTTCTGAACTTGAACCTTGCCATCTCACATCCATTGAGGCCCCTTATGAGCCTCTTGTTCACATCGCCAAGTGCAATCTCTGGTGGCCATATTCTGTCCACTGAGGCTTTCATGGCCTCAGTTTCAAACACAAAGAGGACCACCTTGGATTTCTTGGTGCCAAGGCCAAGGGTGAGGGTGTGCCAAGCATGGTGTGCCAAGATGGTGAAGTTTGTTGGCAAGAATGCTGTGGTGGAAGGGAAAGGAAGCTTGTCCTTTGGTTTGTTGGTGTTGTTGGTTGGTGGGAAAGAAAGAACCTTGAGAAGCTCCAAGGGTCTTGCCCTTCTGATTGTGAAGGACTTCACTATGAATTGCCCTCCAAATCGGATACCCTTTACCTCTGAGCTTGGCTTGAAGGAGAAATCAGAGTTCTGCTTTGTGGTTTGGTCATTGGGGTGCTGGTGCTTTTGCTTCTTGTTCTTGTTTCTCTTCTCTTTCTCTCCCATGGCTAGTGGGTGAGGAATTGAGGGGTTTTGTTTAGGTGGACACAAACCGGTTGGTTATCTATCTTGATTCATATCATAACATCACCAGTGTACAACAATGCTTTCAATGGGATGTACCATAGTGGTAGTATAGTACTCGGATTTTTCTTGGTGTCTTCATTTTTTTTCCATACTAGAATAATTTATTGCAGTCAAAAACGTGGAAAAACACTTCACATAAATTTCAACCTTTTTAGAAAAAAACAGGGCACAAACTATTCTCATTCCATTCCACCATACATATTTCTATCTCATTTGGAATGTCAGGGTAAGAATAAAATTAAAATATTCCATCTACGTAATTAATATTACATAATTTTGTGAATACTAATAAATGTTACAGCAAAAACCTCTCTCTCAAACTAATCTTTTTCTAAAGCTTAAACCTTTGGTAGGAAAACAGTATACACAAGTTTTACTGTTGAATCTAATTAATGATTCGACAAATTGTTCTATAGTGAATTCATGCGTAAAATTTTAGGTGGAAATTATTCAGTTTTTAAAGCATGGGAACAGGACAATCCTGAGGCTAGCTAAGCAGAGAATCTCTGCCACTCGTGAGTGCCTCAACCAAGCTTTGCCCCTAGATATAATGAACATATATTAAAAATTATATAATTGTACCATGACTAATGAAAAATGTTTATTAATTCAAGCTGATCCTGCTAATATACTGCATTGATGTGAGTAAAGTTTAAGATAAAATTAATAAGAGTAGTTTTGGTTATTGTTACTTGTGATCTTGGTATCAAACAAGAAGTTATCATGGCACAAAAAATATATTTGGTAGAAGAAAAAACAAAAACAAAAACTATGATTTGTTCCTATCGTCTAACCTAACCACATAAAAAAAAGGACAATTCATGAATCGAATTAAATATGTGGAGGATGTATTGCATAGCAGAAAGGGGATGGAAGCTGTGGTGGTGTGAATACCTGAAGCACCGACACATCTAAACAATCTTATGTGGGGAATTAAAGTGGATTAATTTAGAAGAAGATCATGTGCACTCATGGGATTGTACTCATTAATCATAATTACCCTGCAAATGACTTCACTAATGGAGAGAGAGAGAGAGAGAGGAGGTTAATCATAATACCACCCATTTGTTTAAACTTTACAGCTTTCATAGGATTGCTAAACCTATTTTAATTGCTAATGGTGTGCAAATTCATATTACCAAATCAGAAGTACTAATAAATTTCGTATAAAACAAATGTTTGTCTAATTAAAAAATTCATTTAAGACATGCAGAAATAGTACAACAATATTAAATTAGACTCTTGCAGTGTTCACAGTTTAGGTTCTGGTATAAAACTGTAACTGATTAACAAAGTATTCTTCTTTTTTAAGCATAATAAAAGATAGTGGTTGATATATATGCATTTGATGGTTTTCTGAGAGAGGGTGAGGAGGTAGGCTTACCTCATTTGACAACCTGAAAGTTCTCTTACAAAAAGTGTTTCATTCTAAAGCTTTCATTGCCTTCAAAAATAATTTAATCAGAGAGAACGTGAAGAGAGACAACATGCAACAACAACAACCTTATCCTTGGTCCTAGCTAATAATAATCAAGTTTCGATCCCATAAGATAGTTATGCTTTTTATGATATTCATCTTACTTTAGAAGGTTTTTGCAATTATTTATTGCCAGCAGTGTGTATGAATTGAATTCTCTCTATCTGTCATGATTTAACATGTATCTGAATTAAATTTGAAGTTAATTCTTTATTCTATATCAAAAAGGGAGATGTAAAATGAGAAACTTCATGGAGATATTTTTTCATGGTTGGCTACAAATTATGTGTAGATCATGTAAATTTTGTTGAGAGGTCTATCAACTTCAAACACCAGAATTGACAGGTACTTTGACAGAAGGTTTCAACAAAAAGTTAGCTCCTTTTAATCAAGAGGCAAGTTCATAAAGATCATGTCCTCATTGGCACGAAAACTACCAATTATGATCAATGATCTAGCATGCAGAATGTCCTACATCTAACACAATCAAACCACTGATGTTGACCTACATTTTCAAATGCCATTTGATGCAGGTAACAAACAACATAGATATACATATGATTCAGAGTTTAGCATTCTGATGATACTTTCTTTTTCCTTTTCAAATTATAGGAAAAAGCTGTGTTAAAAAATACTTATAAGATTCAAAAGTTGAAAGATTTTTGGTAAATAATATACACTAAAGAGACTGAGAATATAATGTTAGATAACATTGTTAACTTTAAGTTTATTAACTTTGACAAACTTCACTTAAATTAAATTTTGATCTAACTCATTTGTTGTAAATTTAAACTTGAATTTAGATTTTACTAATAAGTAGGATTTAATAAATGTTATAAATTTATATTAAAAGCTTAAAGCCTATATTTTTGTGAGTAAAGAACAAGAAATATGCTTAATAAAGTAAGTCTTTTTTTTTTTTTATCAATCATATAGTTTAGTGTTTTACAGCTCAATTTTGCCACTCTTTGGTATCATCATAATGTGGTCCCCAATCATATGTTTATACATGAAATTAGGTAATCACAAGTTTAATCAAATTGAATAACTTACACTTAAATGAAAAAGATATATTAGTAAATTGTAATTATATTAAAAAAAATTACTTAATTTCTATGTTTATTAGATGCTATATCATTAACAAGTTAAATTTTATAGTTCAATCCAAATCATGATGGCTGGAATTGACATTCAATAGGTCTTAAGTTAAACAACAATGTTATCATGTAATCAGGGGTTACAAATTTTGGGAGCAAAAAATGGTTGATTTATCCAATTGAAAGCACAAGATTTTTTATTTGTTTTTCTATATCAAAATAGTGGAATCTCTTGATATGGCAAGTAAGTCTCATTGACCCAATCACATAAATTCTATGACTTTCTTTTTCTTTATTATTATTTTTTTGTCTACCTCATACCAAAAGCTTCAAAATCTACGCTGCTATGGTGTTGTGGGATATATTTGATATTGAGAAATTCAATGATCAAATGATTTCACCTTATGGAAATTTTGAAAATAAGGGTGCTTCTATTTCATCAAGATTGTGCATCAATTTTAGATAGAGAAGATGAACTATGTCCTATTTTCTGTGAGATTGTTGATTAACATATGTTATGGGATTATAAAAGAAGTAGAAAAAAAAATTCTAATACTAGGTTACAATTTTTTTTTCTTATATTTTATATTAAGTGTGATCTAATTATTAGTTTGTGTTTTTAACTATGTGAGGTATTTATTAGCTTTAACTAATTTCTGTCAAAAATTAATATTAGTTATATATAGAAAAATAAATTATTTTAATTATCTTTTCTATTATGTTTATTATACTTGAATCCTGGATTTGAAAGAAGGGTGTGAAATGACTTATTAACCACTTAATTTTGACAAATTTTTAATTGTTATATTGAATCACTTCAATGTAATTCTTTTTTTTTCTTAACTTATTTACAGAATATCATTTTAAAATCCAGATAATATAATTAACAAAAATACAATAGAATGTTATACATCATCAGTTTATATAGATTTCAAAGGAAAAATATATAAAAATTATTTTAATAAATAAATGTATAAAAGTATTCAAAATATAAAGGACATTATTTATGAAGATTTAATAATTTTAACGTAGAAGATTTAATAATTTAGAATTTATGAAGATTAAAGGCAAGTCATTAGAAAAAATTTATATGAACAAATAAAACAAATAAAATACAGGAATTTAAAATATAATATTTTTTATCTCTATGTTTTTAAATTATGCACATTAATTGTTATAAAAGTAAGTTTTTAATATAAATATATTTTGTAATGATGTGTGGGTTGAAGAGTGTTGGTGTTTGAAAAGGAAAAAAAGGTGTGAAGTGGTTGGTTGGCAAGTGGTTGGATGGCAAGTGGTTAGAGACAAGAAAAATTGGAAAACCTTAAATGCACAAGAACCATTTCTTTTGCTATAAAATGTTCTTTCACTTCACTCATTTCTATCATCCAATTCCAAAGCAACCATTACAAGAGTTAGCCAGCAAGAAGCAGAAAGAAAATAATCTAGCTTCTGGGTGTAATTGGGTTGAGAGTTGAGTGTTTTGAGAGTGCTTTGTAAACACATTTGTATTTTCTTTTCTCCCAGTAAAATATCTGCAGTAGTCCAGAAACGTAGGAAATTTTGGCCGAATTCCGTTATCAATTAGTGTGTCCAATTATTCCGTCTTTATTTCGTTTTTATTTCACTTTCATAGATTTGACTACATGGAAAAGTTCTGTGTATTTTTCCTAACAACTGGTATCAGAGCTGGTTGTTAACTCTGCAATTTTTGTGGTGACACTATTCATATGAATAGTGAATTTACTATTATGTGAATAGTAAAAACGTGAATAGTAAAAATATTGTCGGTGCTACAAAATTATCTACAGACGTGTTCCGAAACACGGTAGTTCACATAAATTGTCAAAAACGATCTAGAAAAGTCAGATCTGAGTTGGAGTGATGGCTGCAGATGAAGGAAAGGTGAAAATCAAGAAGTTCGATGGTGCGGAGGATTACCTGTATCAGAAGGATATGTTCGAACCACTCACAGGAAAGAAACCAGAGGGTATGAAAGAGGAGGAATGGACTCTTCTCGACAGAAAGGCCCTTGGAGCCATTCGACTGGCGTTATCCCGTAATGTTGCTTTTAACATTGCAAAAGAAAATACAACAGCAGGTCTTATGGATACTCTTTCCAGTATGTACGAGAAACCATCAGCCTCAAACAAAGTTCATTTGATGAGGCAGTTGTTCAATCTACGGATGTCTGAAGGCGCTTCAACGGCACAACATATCAATGAACTCAATACTGTTACAACTTAGTTGAGTTCAGTTGGGATCGAGTTTGATGATGAAGTACGAGCTTTGATACTTTTGTCTTCTCTACCAGAAAGTTGGAATGCTACTGTCACAGCTGTGAG